TGAGGAGGAGGAGGAGGAGGATGATGAAGGCGACGAGTTCGGGACGCTGTCTGATAAATTTTCTTCTAGAAAATATTACCACAAAACCACATCACGCTTTCAGAATTTAAAGCTTCAAGAAGGAGAGGAAGAACCGGAAAGAAAACCTCGACGCGGTCCTAAGAACAGCCCGTACTGGTACTTCTTAAAATGCAAGGCCCTCATCAAAGAGGACAAGGTTTGTTCCCAGCTCCTCGCTTAAACAGCATCGATGGTAGATGCAACTCTGTCCCATCGGTATCGTCCATCGCTTAGTATCTTTACAGAAAGAAGTAAAGTAAGAATTTGTGAGGAATCCCATGCTCTGTAGGACTTTTACCGCAACCTGCCTGCGGCTGCGAGTATTAATATCCATTGTAATCGATTCTGTTGGTGCCTCATCGTGGATTTTCCTCTTCCCCGTAGCTGGCGGAGGCCCTGGAGCTGTTTGAGGTGCAGATGCTGAAGGAAGAGCGCGTGCAGCCGGAAGAAAGCAATTACACTGTTCTAATTGGCGGCTGTGGCAGGGTTGGCTACGTGAAAAAGGCGTTCAGGCTCTACAATGATGTAGGTTTACATTCTCTCTCAAACCTTCATCAGGTTTTCTAAGCTAAAACTGTTTCAAGTATTTGGTCACGTTACTTTGTCTCCAAAATGCCTTTGAGTTAGCGTTTGCACCTTCTTAGCCTGAAACTCTTAAAAACAAGCTATGAAATTCTAGAAGTCTTTTCCTAAAAAGCCAGTTCCAACTCTTCTTCTCTTCCCTCAGATGAAAAAACGAGGCTTAACTCCCACCAAGGCCACTTACACAGCCCTGTTCAATGCCTGTGCCGAATCGCCGTGGAAGGACTCGGGCCTGCAGAGCGCTCTCAAATTACGGCAGCAGCTAAAGAGCAAAAATGAAGAGCTGAACCTGATCACCTACCACGCGCTGCTGAAGGTCTGTGCCCTGTGCTCAGATCTCAGGATGTGCTTTGACGTACTGAAGGTAAAGACGTGGCTTTTCTCGTATTGAGCGTAGTCTGCTCTGGTTAAAGCTCCCGGAAGTTGCCGTATTGCACAGACTTTTTTTTATTTCATTTCCAGCAGAGGGGATTAGAGATCACGTGTTTATGTTTCATTGATCCTTGGTCTCATACGATGAAATCGTCTTGGTACATACCAGACATTTAAGTTTAAGTACATAAAAAGAGGCAGCTACAGCCTGAAACAGAGGTTGGCTTTAAAACTCTGGTCAGTTGTGTTTTGTGGGGTTCACGGCGACTGTCTTGTCTCCATCCCTCGTTTTGAAGACCCCAGTTTAAAAGGAACTGCTATCTAGTTCCTTTTAAAGCTCTTACAGCAGCCCTTCTCAGAAGGGCCAGTCTGGGAGTAGCTAAAAGGATTGCTGTTCCTGCCCTCCGGTTCCCCGTAGCTCCCATCGGGGAGAAGCTAGGGTCTGTGCAGGCGTTTCAGGGCTCTTTCTCTCTTGGAGCGATCGTTCTGCTGGCAGCACTGGGAGTTCACCCTGTGCTTTGTTGCCGCTGTATGCCCAGAAGAAGACAGCTGTATTTGAGCTTCGCAGCCAGCTGGGACAGACTGTTCGGGTAAGTGGGAAGTTTAACGCTCTCTCTGCTCTTTCAGGAAATGGTACACAAGGGCCATGTCCTCACAGCCGAGACCTTCAGCTTCCTTCTCATGAGCTGCATAAAGGACAGCGAAAATGGCTTCCGATACGCCTTACAGGTTTGTCTTCATATACTACGTGGGGAGGAAAAAGTGCTTCTGTATTGTAACTCGTCACTTGAATGCACGGAAGGCAGCAGGTTGCTCAGAGCTGATGAAACAGGAGGAGTTCAGCTCCTCCTAGGAGAAGTTCTGTAAACTTAGACCTCCATCAGGAGGTCTCGTACACGGGTAAACCACCCTGGATGATCTCGCAGCTCGGGGTGGCTGTTCACGGTCCAGTGGCATCTCACCTCGTCGTGCTGTAAGCTCTCTCCTTTTCTGCAAGTAGATACCGTAACAGTGGGCACGGCAGATACGCTTACAATCTGCTAGAAATGTTCCTGTTATTTAATATCACGCACATCTGGTGTTCATCTTCCCCTTTTCAGGTTTGGAAAGAAATGACTAAACTTGGAATAAAGGCCGATAGCCACACTTACAATTTGATGCTGCGTGCTGCGAGAGACTGTGGAATAGGCGATCCGGTCGTGGCTTCTGAAGTCCTGCTCAGACCCACCCATGACAACTCATCTCAGCTAAGGCTTGCACCCGGCAGGCAGAAGGAGAAGGTGAAAAACCAGAAGAAGAAGGGATCAGAGAGTGCAGCTGCTGTCCAGCTGGATGTGGAAGCTATGGAAAAGCAATTATTTTGGGAGAGTTCGGTACGGCCTGAAGAACCCATCCGGCAACAAAATAAAGATGTGAATTGCGCTGAAACAGAACCAGCTGCTCTCGACAGCCCCAGCGTAGCTCACGGCAGGACTGGAGCGTTGACGAGGAGAGGCCAGAACAAGACGGAGCAGGAACAAGCACGCCTAAGCCAGAAGCTGCGTTTCTGCAACCTGCCCAACTTGCTGGATTCCAGGATGGCTGACGCAGCCGTGGTTTCCCTGGGGACAGCGGCGACACCGTCCGACAGACTGGCTTTGATGGGGGACGCGGAGGGCTTCTTGAACAAAATGAAAGACGACAATGCAGAACCCAACATTAAAACATTTACGTTACTGGCTGAGCTGGTGGGACCCCAAAGCCCCTCGGAGTCCTCTTTGCTGGCACTCCTAGATGAGCATAAAGTGAAAGTAGATGTGACCTTCTTTAACACTTTAATAAGGAAGAAAAGTAAACAGGGAGACCTAGAAGGAGCAAAGGTGAGGAAAAACTCAGACCCAGCCCTGTCACCACCTCCTCGTCTCAGGCCTGCAGTGTTACCCGTGTTTCGCTGTGAGACCCGTTTCTTTATCCGCGATAGAAACTGGGAATCTCGCACCGTTTTCCACAAACCAGTGCTCAGGTTAATTTCTAAGTAGTTACGGATTCTGTTCTAGCACCTTCAGCTCTCTGTCGGGAAAGCAACAGTGAGACTTTTTCGAAACTGATGTCAACACTTGTATCTTGCAGAGCGTGCTGCCAGCTCTGGTGAAGAGGGGACTATCGCCTAACCTCCAGACATTTTGTAACTTGGCAATTGCTTGCCACCGAGAGAAGGACGGACTGCAGTTGCTCTCAGATTTGAAGGTAATAAACTCTGCTGCTTGGGGTTCGAGCTGCGGGAAGAGGTAAACTGAAGCGTCGGTGCTTCTAAAAAGACCTGCTGAGGTTTTTGTGGCGAGCGGTTGTGTTCTCACTCCAAAAATATGCAACTCTAGAGTAGGTGCCAGCTCAGGTGGTCTGTCCTGCACCTGCGTTGGGATAGGAGAGGGCTCACGGGAGGGGGTGTGCTGGCACTGCAGAAGCTGCTACCCGGCTTCCAGGGCGAGAGCCTTGCTCCTTGTGTAAGAAGTGCCTGTACGCCTCTTCCTTCTACAGGCCCTGCGCTAGTCAGCAGATAAATGAGTTTACCTGTAGCGTTTGTTGTTTCCAGAGGTCTGGAGTAACTCCCAACAAATACATCTACAGCACCCTCATCGCTGCCGCTGTGAGGCAGCTGAATTACAGTTACCTCACAGAGATCCTGCGAGACATGAGGAATAACCAAGTGCCTCCCAATGAAGTTATCATACGCCAGCTGGAGTTTGCGGCACAGTACCCTCCGAAATTCGACAGGGTAAGTAGCCACGACTGGTCAGAGTGTGAAGGCATCACGAAGGACGCCAGCAAGGAGGGGAAACGTAGGTGTCTGCCTAAGCCTTTCTCCTTTGGCTTCCTCTGATCGGGCTGACAGTTACTTGATAGCCGTTTCTTTAGCAGCAGCTTGTAGCTATTGCATGCTGGTATTGAAGTGAGCTCTCTTCTAATAGAAACTTGTTTTGTTGGATTTGTGTTTGCAGTATAAGTCGAAGAACCCATACCTGGAGAAAATCGACGGTTTCCGCGGCTACTATTATCGGTGGTTAAAAGTAATGGCAGGAGAGGAGACCCCCCATCCCTGGGAAAAATACAGAACAGCGAAACGTGCGGTAGATGACCACAAGGAAGAGGCTGTGCAGGAGCAGCCAGGGCAGAAGTAGCAGTGAGCAGGATGCCGAAGCCCTGTGTCTTCCTTGTGCTGGAAGAACTTGGAACTTGCTCCCTTAAACTGCTTTGTATTTCCGTGAATCCAAGTTCTTGTGATAACTAAATAATAAAATACTTGTCCTTTGTTTTAAGGAGAAGCAACTACATTTTCAGGGGATTTCCTTAAACTGCGGAGGATTAGATAGGCCGTAGTTTAAACAAACCCTGTGCTAAACAAGGGAGAAGCAAAATCAGATTCAACAGCGGTTTAGCTCGGTGCTAGTTTTGTCTCCTTCCTGCGTTCTGTGCGTATCTGGGCACTTAACGCGTGACCTGTCAGTCTCTATTCAGGAACGCTGGCATTCCTGAATGGATCTACGCACTAATTCCAGGTTACAGACCTTAGCAGAGAGTTCCAGTGAGATTTAGCTTCCTTCTACACAAGATCAGGGGAGAGCTTAAATCGCGACTGGAGTTTTGAGAACTGTATTGTTCCGTTCCACACAGCCTTTTAAATTCAGTTAGTCGAGGAAGAGGGATAAGAGCTGGTTAAAAACAACCCACGTTTAGATCACCTCGCAGTAAACAGAGCAACCTTAAAACACAAACCAACCAAGACACATCCAAGAGGAGAAGAGCGGCGTAGAAATGTTTCGCCAGGAGATCGCACCGCTCTCTCAAGAAGGCAGACTTTATTTTAAAATAAATGGCTACACAAAAACCTACTCCAAACCAAGCACCATTGTATATATGATCCAGATGAAAACGCTGCTGTTTTAATTGCTATACAGAAATACCCACTCACACAGAAGGCGGCTGTAACTGCACTAACAGTCCATCGTGTAGGATGATATCCCTCAGAGTTCAAGAAGTAGTCTTGCGGCTAAAGGCTTCACCCAGAACAGCCTCTGCATCCGCAGTGAGTGCATTCAATGATTCTCCCCTGGAAAAGAAACACGAGGAGGGTATTTCAGCCAAGCTACGGTGAGCGGACAGACCAGCAGGCTCGGGCCTCAAGGCAGAGAAGGGGTCTGCCTGGGAGGGGTTTCTACCGTCTAGTTTTCTGTTGTTTCCCATACTTTTAACGACTTTGAACGACTGCACGCCAAAGCTGGCAGTAACTTTAGAACCAACTAGATACCAACTCTACCAGCAAAGATAAAAAATGTTAGAGCTAGAGGAAATTACCCGGAAGAACAGCACTACCTCCTCTGCTGCCCCTGACCTGGGAGGAGTTAGACCGGGTACTGCAAGGGTCCAGACAAGTAGAGGAACAAGCTGAAAACCCTTACCACTTCCAGCTTGCTTTTGGGGACCCTGCAGATGCAGTTGGTTCCGAAGTTGGTGTCCCGCGTCTGGATGCACCGCAGGCAGCAGAGGTTCTCGTAACCCTGTTTCTTCCACTTTGCAATCAGGTTTTTGTCAGCGTATCCTTCCTTGATGCAGTATTCATAGAGCTCTGTGGAGGAGCAGACACCATCACAAGTAGCTCCCGGGAAGCGCGAGAAGGCCCGCTATCGGGAATTACTCTAGCTGTACTGACTAGCAGTTAAAGCCAGGCAGCCACCAGCCTTCCCTCCACCCTCCCTCCCCAGAAACCCCGTCCTTCCCACCAACGCCCCAATTCGGGCGCATCCGCAGGCGGACATCTTACTCCGTTCTGCTTTCCCCTGCCCAGGGCAAAGCATTTGCGTTCCTCACCTCTGCTGATAGCTTTTCTTTTATAGAAGAGATCAAAGATGTAACGTGTTTTCTGGTGATGAATTCTGAAGATAGGCCAAAGGGATTCCACTTTCCTCTTCCCTTCGTGAGGCTCGGTCTCCGCTGGGAGGGAACACAAACACCGGGTTTCAGCTGACTGTTTCAGGCGGCCAACTTATTTCCTTGGTCACTTTGCAATAAACTGTTCCGAGAACGTTCCTAACTAATACATTTACAGAGATAAGACCGAGCTTAACGGGAGAAGATTCAAACGAAAGGGACCTGACCTGGAACAGCTCCTTTAGGAAATGAAAATAGAAAGACAGTGGGGATGACGCGTCCCGCGCTGGCGTGGCAGGTGACTTCATGGCTGCCCTGGCTCGTCAGACCAGAGCAACAGCACGGACAAGAACTGCCAGCCCCCCCCCACGCAGAAGAGCGCAACAGCACGGACAAGACCTGCCAGCCCCCCCCCACGCAGAAGAGCGAGCTTCAGCCGGGGCTTGGCCGTGGAGCGCCCCAAACTGTACACCAACCCTCTGCGCTCTGTAACCCGGGTACACCCAAAGAGCGACCAGAACCGGCCCAGTCTCAGTCTGCAGCATCACTGCGAGGTAGAGACATAAAAAAAGGTCAACCTGTATTCGCGGGGGGAGCTGCGCTTCCCGAAGCAGTTAAGGATTACCTTGTCTCAGGGACACATCCCCGAGAACCCCCGGCTCTGCCGCTCACCTTCTCTCATCTTCTGATCCAGCTCATCCAGCGTTGGCTCAATCAGCTCCCAGCCATCCGGGGGGGGCTTCCTGCTCCTCTTCACTTTGGGCATTGCCTCGGAAACGAGGGAGGCGAAAGGCGAGGGAACGAGGGTTTGCCTGCGCTCAAACGTGCGGGTGCTTCAAAGTCCTGAGAACCACTGGAAAAAACGAAGGGAAAACAGCTGTCAGAGACATTTCTCCCAAGACTTCCGTCCCCCTTTGCCATTTTCCGCTTCGGTGATAAAAACGAGCTCGAGGGGGCTCGTGAAAGGGGTAAAATCTCGCCCAACGCGGCCCCTGGGGCGAGCGCTGCACCCGCCTCACC